GACAGGAGCCTGGACCTTACATCACTGGAGGAGGGTACAATGAGAAATAAGTGTATCCTGCAAATTATGACAAGAGCTCACCCAGCATATATTGTACGTTACAGGCTCTTCCCATGCAACAATGAGATCTCTGAGTTATGTGTGGCTCCTTTTTATAGTTTTGTGGCATTGATTTGTATCAATGGAGCAAAAACAGAGGTGCACTTTGTGTACGCACACAGACCATCATAGACCGCGATAGCAGCTGCATACCTTGTGCCATATTCCCATTGTAAGCATTGTAGATTTGGAGGGGGAGCTCATCACTAAATTAGTTTGTTTTACTATGCAACCTGAATTCTACAGAAGGCTTTTTTTAATTGATATCAACCAGAAGCATGGCATTTTCAGAACACGTCAGCAGTGATAGTCTCCCCGATCTATGCAACATTTAAGTTTTTGAATTTTAAAATCCAAAAACTTTTGTATAGATCAGGTAAGTTTTAGAATCTCATTTAAATACTGGGTCCTTGTTCAGTGAGACTTCCCTTCACTTCCTGTTCTGACACTCCTCACCTGAGCAGGAATTTAGAGGGAATCTTTCTTGGTGACACAGGAAAAAATCCTAATGGAGGTTCTAAACCTACTCGCTCTTCTACAAAATGTTTCTTTTTCTATGCATGTTCCCATTGTGGGTGACCCCCCTTCTCTGTCTTCCATGAAGTTGGAGCTTAGACTGAATATTGATATGACGGTTTAATTTGCTCTGAAGAAGAAAACAGTACTTTAGTAAGCAGAGTTTCCAGATCCGCATATCCCTTGTTGGTGCAAGCATGGCTTTTTTTGTTTTTTATTGTGGGCGCCAGTTGATATTTATTTGGCACATTTCCCACCTTATTCTGAGATGTTTTCAGACATGGGTTTGACAAATAGTTTATATCCGCTACAGGTTGTGATTTCTTGGTACTTGGCAGTAAAAAGCTGTTTGTTTTGACAGGTAATACCAAGCTGGCAAGCATGCCTTCTGGGGGTGCTGCCGCCATTGCTGCATCTGCTGGCCCTGCTGCTCCTGCTGCTGGAGGATCTGCTGCACCAGGTAATTTCTATTATTTACTCTGCTATTTAAGTCTTTTTATCATTCAGGATTTCACTGTCATCTGAACCTATTTTGGGAGAGTATATTTCTGCTATTGGGTAACTTATTGCTGACAAATGCACTCAAAGTATATCGAGACTCCTGAGAAAACGTTGAACATATCACAGCTTACCAGTCTTTAGATGTGGGGGCTGCTTTAGATTATTTTTTTTGTGTGCAGGCCAAGTATGTTTTCTGCAAATACAGGCAGTCTTCGGGTTACAGACGTCCGACTTACAGGCAATCGGTGCTTACGAACCAGGGTCCACAGTTCTCCTAAATGTACCCGCAGCTGCCGGTACATTTAGGAGAACTGTGGCTGCAGCGGCCTGTATCCCTTCAAATCCCTGCTGCTCTCCACGCCTGTGTTGGCATTCCTAGCTGCCCCCGTACCCCTGCTGATGTCCCACCGATACGTCGCTCTCCTGGTCTGGCTGCGGCTCCTATGCCCTGCCCCCCTGCCTCTTCATTGCAGGCTGGGAGCCATACCCAGCCTGCTTTTGGATATTGTAAAATGCAATAGCAAGCTGGCTATTGCACCAGCCCACTGCCTGCTGTCAATCAGCATGGGAGGACCTGATAGAAAACTTTTTCCTTCAGGCCCCTCCTGATTGACAGTGGGCAGATGCAATAGCCAGCCTACAATTGGCTATTGCGATTTGAAATATCCAATAGCAGGCTGGCTATTGCTCCCAGCATTTAAAATTAAAAAAAAAAGTTTAAAAAAATTAAATTGAAAAGTTAAAAAAATTACAAATGCAAGCAAAAAAAATAAAGTAAGTAAAAAAATAGAAAAACTTTTTTGCGTGTGTCATTTTAAATAAGTTTTTTTATTATATATTAATCTTCTGAACAACAGGAACAGGCAGCAAAACAAACATGACCCTTCCCTATGCTATCCAAAACTAGAAAATGTTTTTTTGGCTGGAGTTACTTAAAAAATGTACCTGTTCCGACTTGCATACAAATTCAAATTAAGTACAAACCTAAAGTCCCTATCTTGTATGTAACCCGGGAACTGCCTGTTAACTCAGACAGCCTTGTTAAAGTGGAAATGGTAACGATCAGAATCCCTCTGTATGTCCTCGATGAGATGTCAGTCTGCTACATCCATTCTAAGACAAAAGCATTCTTTCAGACCAGTTATACGGCTAGAGACAAATTTAGCGAGGTTAAGTAGAACTGCTCCTTACTATGGGATAAAGTGTAACATTTCCATAATAATGAAACATTTTGTCCTGTACAAGATTCAATTGTCACAACTTTATGTTCATCAATGTAACTGCATTCTGCTTCTTATGACTGGATAAGTGTTAATTACAACTCTTCATTTTTCAGCTCCTGAAGAGAAGAAGAAGGAAGAGAAGGAAGAGTCTGAGGAGTCCGATGAAGATATGGGATTCGGCCTGTTCGATTAAATATTGTAGCCTTTTAAAATAAAAACTTTATTTAGCTTTGGCCTTTTTATGTATGTATGTATGTATGTATGTAGTAAAGGCTTGCTTTATGGTGATACAGCCCTTTTAAAGGGCCTAGACCAGCGGTGGCAAACCTTTGACAAGCACAGGTCCGCGATTGCGGTGACATGCAGCACCGTCAATTCCCAGCACACCGCCACCACATGGCCCACAACAAGCCAGGATGAGGAGAACCAGTGTCCGGCCTGCCCCAATTGGCTGAGCGGCGACAGCTGCGTGTGCGGATTTGCTAAGCTTCTTGTCAGTCAACATCCTCCAGTAAGGAAGGTGTATGGTATGTCCTCTATGCATGTGACTGGGCAGCAAGTGGCGTATTCACAAGGACAGAGAGCTGGTATAGTGGCGTCATGCAGTGTTACTCGGGTGATGTCACTGAAGTTGGATGGAAGCCCGCACATTTAGTATACCAAAGTCTATACAATTCTAGTTTTCACCTTTTTGCAATGCATTGTTGCATCACATTGCTCCTGATCCCCTGCAGCCTCTTGGTAGCTGTTTCCTGTCTGTATTCATGCACTCTAGCCAGGGTTGCCGCACAGGCCTCCCTAAGAGCCACACAGCCCCCGAGAGCCCGTACAGACTACCGCAGAGCCCCCCTGAGAGTATTCAGGTCTAATTGCGGGGTTGGCACTTTGAGATACGCAAGTTGGTTTAGTGATCCAGTTTGGGCACTCGGGCTATAAAAGGTTCGCCATCACTGGCCTAGACTAATATTTTTTGGTTTTACAGCATTGTGTTGAGGGTGAAAGTTGGAGTTGTGAGCCTAATGACCATCCTTGAGGACTACAAAAGCCCCACCACTACAATGATGTGCTACATTAATGTAAAAGCTGATCATTATCACTTGAAAATATTTAAAGCTGAACTATGGTCACAAACATTTTTACGGGTGCACACAATTTTAAGGCTCGACATGTTTGGCATCTACAGTGGTACCTCGATTTACCAACTTAATTGGTTCCATGATCTTGGTAGCTAACTGAATTGGTTGTGAACCGAATCACATTTTCCCATTAGTGTTCAATGTAAATCAGGTGAATCCGTTCTGAACAATATGGAAAAAAAAAATTTAACCACAAGTTTCTTTTTACCGCCATTCTTGCTCTGCACATTTTTGTCACCTTCATTAACGCTCTGCACAATCTTGTGACCTTCATTAACGCTCTGCACAATCTTGTCACCTTTAACGCTCTGCACAATCTTGTCACCTTCATTAACGCTCTGCACAATCTTGTCACCTTCAATAACGCTCTGCACATTCTTGTCACCTTCATTAACGCTCTGCACATTCTTGTCACCTTCATTAACTTCCTGGTCGCGAACAGAGTTGTTCGTGAATAGAGGCATTCATAAACCGAGGTACCACTGTATTTACCTGACGTGACCCATCTTTATATTTTACCAAAATTGGGTATTATACTTTTTCTGTGCACTGAAATTAATTCTTGTTTACTTTATCCTAAAAATACTCGTTTGATGAATATTTGCACAAATACCGTGCAACATAAAAAATTGCAGCTAGCGTTTGTTTTAATCTATAGGGTCGCTGCTTTCAGAAAATATATCATTGGGGATTTTAAGCTGTTTTCTAGCCAATAACTCAGATTTTATCACGTGTGCAAAAATTAAGAAATTGCTCCGGACAGCAAGTGGTTTAATTATATTCCTCAATAGCCACAGAGGATATAAATCCCCGTGTGCACTAAACACATTTGCAAACCCAGCTACTATCATATACAAGTAGCAGTGACATGATCACTGTGCTGCATATAACTTGTACTGTGAGCAAATCTGTGAGAGTGACCCAGCAGGCCCCACCCACTACAGGCTGCAGAAAACTACAGGAGGAGGCGTATACAAGACCAGTCACCCTGCACAAGGAGTAAGAGCAGCATTGACTGGTCCTTATTCCAATAGGCTCCAGTACAGAGGCAACGTTATTATTGCACAGGTCTGGAAGAAATACACAAGGCACTCCAAAATAAAGAATACACATTCCTCCTGTATTTAGACAGTAATTGCTTATCCTGGAGGGCACTACAACCCCCACCCCAAAAAAAAAGAAAACATGCATATAATCTGCAGATACAAACTTGAAAAGTTGTCACTGTAGAATGCTGTCAGAATACCGTACACTGTAACATTATTATACAGGATTTATATAGTGCCAACAGTTTGCACAGTGCTTTATGAAACTGAGGGAGACCATACAATTTGGGGCTAAAGCAGCTTGTTGGGGAGCCCCCCAGTGCATTCTGTGAAGTTTTAGTGATACTCCTCAGTGACTCATTATGTTCTATTTGTAATACCAGAAAATTGCATATTACAGGGGCAGCTTGGAGCCCTGCACTGATGTATAAAGGCCATGACACACTGCACGCGGAGTGGTGGTGCACTGCCTTTGCGAGCAGTGTGTCATGTAATTTTCTCCTCGGCGGCTCAGCTTGCGAGTGCTCGCGTAGCTGAGCGTGCCGAGATGAAAAATTTCATCTTCAGCCAATCGGCTCACGCGTATAAACCAGCACGTCGGCATGCGACAGCTGGCTGGTTGTTACAGACGAGCCGATTGGCTGAAGGTGCAGTCAATCATCTGACTGCACTCAGCTCACACACTGCCGGATAGCTTTGCTTCGCTCTGCACGGCTTCGCGTGCTGTGTGTCACGGCCTTAAGTCATACAGTACATATCGACACCTGGTTGCCGAGTCTCATCCTGTTTCATGTAGTAAAGAACCAGCTGCACTCCTTACCGGAATAGTAGTAAACCTGCCAAGCAGGTGGGTGCTTGTAGTGACCACGGACGGCCCCGTGAACAATGCAGATCTATGCCATATCATTACGACTCACTGTGTGCATTAGTTGATTACAGGTGAGCCTCATTTGAGTACAGAATGGCGGGAAAATACGGTGATCCAGCTGCAACTGATGGGAGTGGTCTGTTTTTAATATGCACTGGTATGTCTATTTAAAGGTGATGGTTTGCTTTACTGTATCATTCTGAGCCTGATGAAGGGGTACTGCAGAGACCCCGAAAGCGCTTGTATTGGATGGCGATTTGTCAATAAAGGACTTTTTGCTTCAAAACTTTTGGTGTGCTGGTGACAATCCTTTCTAGATCATCCTGTTTCAGTCACCTGTATAGACAGGTTTGCTGCAACAGGTGGAGCTGTAGGATTAGTTCTTTGTTGATTCACTAATTCCTAGCTGGTTGTCAAACCTCTTGTGATTAGTAGTTTGTGAAAAATTTTCTAGAATTCTAGAGATTTCACCAAATTGAAGCTGGTCCTATACTAGTACAATTTTACCTCAGAGCAGATTAGGAATTTACTCTCCTCATCTGTGACCTCCCACATTGTGACATATAGAAACGAATACACTGGCTGTATATGTACCTCTTCCAATTCATCAATGTGTGGGACATTCAGGCTCACCTGGGGCAGCTGAAGACCTCTTGAGTCCGGTGATTAAAGTGATATTTTTTTAAATAAAAGTACTTCTTTCCTCGTTTTCTAGTGTGTCCCCGCCATGCTCCTCCCCCCGCCCCCTGCACAGGTGCAACCATCGCTCTAATGGAGGCACCCGTGCACACTCGTCCCCGCAGCGGCTGTTTGCGTCCATAGACACACACAGCCCTGTGGCAGGCCATGCCCCTTCCTTCTTTGATGGCCCCTCTGCCATCAGTATCCTCCCCACAACGCGGAAGTTCGGGGTACGGAGGATCGCTTCGGGACCAGCAGTGGGGACGAGCGCAGCTGAGAGGTAAGTGTGGGGGGGACTGGGGTAAAAAAAAAAAAAGTCCTGGTCTGTTTTTACCCCAATGCAGAGAATGCATTAAGGTAAAAGAAACGCCCAGACCTTAATACTACTTTAAGTGTAGTGTTGCTCCTACGTTCTGATATGCCTTTGGAAGGTAAACAGGGAAGGGTTTTTTTTGGATTGCAGGAGGAAGGGTTAGAACATCTGATAAGTTTTCCTGTGTGGGACATTTCTTCAACTTCATGTTGCAGTGACAATGGGTACACTGCAATAAAATCCGGCAAAACGAATTATCTCTATTCAGAACTACAAATTTTGTTGGCGTTCCACCATCAATTTACCATAGACTTGGAAATCTATTTTTGTTAACCACTTCAGTACTGACCTATATGTAAATGTCCAGTTCTGAAGTTGCTAATATCAAAATCCCAGCTGGTGCAGCAGCCATGGTCTTGGCACTGGTTTTTCCAGCAGGCTCCTGGCTTTCCACATACTAGTAATGGGGTGGCTGTACAGCCATCTGATGTCACCAGCACTCCAGAAGTAGATTCAATATATTTTAATGACAACGGTCATTCAAAATCACAAGTACTTTCGGGGCCACGTTGGGTCCCTGTCATCAGGCTCAGAATCCTGATGCCTGAATTCTGAGCCTGATGACGGGGACCCAACGTGGCCCCGAAAGTACTTGTGATTTTGAATGACCGTTGTCATTAAAATATATTGAATCTACTTCTGGAGTGCTGGTGACATCTTTTGGAATTACTACTTGACTACACGGTGCCTCCGTGGTCACTACAAGCACCCTATTACAGACATCATCTCCTAGGAGATCCGGTAAGGAGTGCAGGAAGATACACACAATTTTGTACAGCCATCTGATCACGTGCATGGTGCTGAAGAACATTAGCTCCACCGCCTCTGCGGTGGAGCAAATGTTCTTCGGCACCATGCAAGTGATTAGATGGCTGTACAGCCACCTGCTAATATCCTGGGCTTCGTTGTTCTTTGTGGAGGCCTGGGATAGGGACAGCAGGTATCTGTGGGTGGACCCGGAGGAGATCAGCACAGATCCGCCGTCTGATCACATCTCTGTATACTGAAACCAGAAGAGAAAAGGATTTTGTCACCCCAGTTCCAGACTCATGTCTTTGGCTGCTGTGGCTATAGAAGTAGCAGGTGAAGCATGATCTGTGCTTCATCAGCTT